CATCTAACAAATTAATCCTCAGTATAGATTTTTATATTAATTTCTTCTTAATAAATAAAGCTATCACTTTAAATCAACTGTTCTAAAGTAGGTCCTGTGCTTTGCAAAGTTAACAATAATTTAATTCCTTCCATAACAGTCTATAAAAACCTGAGCCCTCTCTGTTCAGAAGCATACTATTTATCCACTCCCAATGAGTACAAGGATTTTAAATTTAGTATTGTAATACTGCTGGCATACAAGTTGACAGGCATTAATTAAAAGTCAGGAAAACAATGACTTTACATGTGTTTAAAGCAAAGTTCAATGAAAGAAAACAAGGTTTTCTTCAGAAATGAGAAAAAGCTTGGCTATTATAAAGGCTGAAAACAAATTCATTAATGACATTCCAAAACTCTAATATGAATTTATTAATACTAACAATACTTTTAAGTTTATAGCACTTATGGTACTTTTGTGTTTAGATATATGACTCAATGCACTTTACAATTTCTAGTAAAAAAAAAAAAACATGACAAAAAACCAGTCTTTTGCAATTATTTCAGCAGATACGGAAGTTCAGCAAAGAAGCTGTAAGAGCAATAATTATCAATAGCTTAACAAGAAACAGATTCATGGTGCTATTTCTCTATTCAGAGGGTCAGAAAGGCCTAGGTTCCATAAAAAGACTACATCATCAACTCACATCAGCATAGCTGCTGCTTCCCTGAGTCAGTAGCCTATCTGCGTAAAACCTAGCCCTAACTGAAACATACGAACAGCTTAGTGAGCTTCATTTCTCCCTACCATCTTATGTTTCAGATAAGGCAAAGGAACATTCTCTACCTAATAGTTCACTAAAATGTATCTTTGGGGAAATAGTCACTTTTGTTTCTAATTGACCTTTTTGAATAATTGGAAGTTAAAGTTTTCCTTTATGCAGCTGCAATCTCTTCACACAGAGATTAATGAGAATCATAACAAAAAGTTACAGAACTTCCTAGGATAAATTAAGTATTTTTTAAAAACATGAAAAGGCTTTTGTAAATGCCAGCTATCAGAATCAGTAGAACCTGAGTTTGCTCTCCTACTACTGCTGTGATTTGTACATAAATAATTTGCTTGTTTTTATAGTTTTGTAGCATGCTGCTAAGAGAAATATGCACACATACACAGGCAGGACAGTATCATCAATGCTGTACACCTCTTGAAAACTCTGAACTAATCCTTTTCAAGTAAAGAGTTACAACAATCTCTGTATGGAAGAACAGCTCTGACTAGGCCTGTCAATTTCAAAGACCATTCTAAAAAACGAAGTTTAAAGGATGCCTTGAAAGGTCGGGACAAAATGTAAAAAAAAAAAAATAAAATTTGTTTGTCATCTTGAAAGTTTGGCAGTGACATAGGGTTGTTCTACACTCAAAAATATTATCCAAATGCATGAAAGCATCACCTGGAAACAATTACAATTAACGAAAAGGAACTTCCTAAGCTCATCTTTCTTTCCTCCAAACTTAAGTCAGAGGTATCACCTCTTAAGAATTAACATTACTGGCATTGCAACTTCCCAGCATTACAATGCTCACTTTGAAGTCTTGACTGAATAATACAAAGCCAGTCACTCCAAGCATACAAATGACAGAATACACGCAGAACCTGAGAAAGCTTTGCTTTTCCTAACTAAATCTCCTGTATTAATGAAGTTGTCATGTAGTGTTTATACTGAAAATAGTACTATGTTAGTGCAAATATAACTGTATGATGTTATTTAAGAATTTCTAGTTGAAGTACGAACACCTGCATTAAGAAAAAACAATCAAGTGATTCCAAACTCGAAGATTTCTATTATTACAACTCATAAAACTAGCCCAAACTTTAAAAAATGTTGTTATTGAGCATTTGGAATGTGTGTAGTCACAACAAAATAAACTAAGAATGAAAGCAAGCAGAATAAACACACTCCCATTTTCCTGAGGCCAACAAGCCTAGCCAACTTCAAAGCTGGTTTCTGGTAATTTTTCATCGCCATAATGAACATGTGCAAAACTTATCTATAAAGACACCGCAGCCTCATTATACAAACACTAGAAACTACTTGGCATAACCATTTTCCTCTCTGCATTCACCCACTGTGTTTTTCCTGCCATAAAGTCTTTCAGTTAAGCTCATCTCATGTTATCTACCTCACGACTAATTTTGCAGTGTTTTAGACTGAATAAAACAAGCACAACAGGCAAGCATGGTTATTCTTGACATGAAGTTTATACATTTAAAACAACAGCGAATAATCCCAAATAACAGCAGTAAAACAACAGTGAATAATCCCCAATTCCTTATTTTTCTCCTTCAATGGCAACAAAACCAAACAAAAAAACGAACCTAGCATATGAACATGCCTTATTCTTAAAAGCCACTTAACCACCTACCCATCACTGGTTCCTCGACTTACACAGGATAATAAAATGCTAACATTATGGACTAGGGAACTAAGGAGCAGGAAGTTCTGTTCTCTCAACCTGGAGCCGTCAAAGCCTCGGCAAGGAAAAAAAAGAAGGAAAAAAGGAAGTTGGGGGGGAGAGGGCTGGGAAGCAGGGGTGGCGGTGAAAGAAACTGGTATGAAATTATGTCCCACTTCGTTATTCCTGTCTACCAGCAGGGTGACATCACGGCATGTCCAAAGCACAAGACCCACTTTTTCAGCGAGAAAGCCCCTCGGCCTGGGAATGGCGGGGAGAAGTAAGGATGGGCCTCCGTCCGCCACCGCCGGCCAGGGGTCACCGCCGGAGGGCCCCCGCAGCCGCCCGGCGTTCCGCAGCCACCGGGAACTGAGCGGGTTTTGCAAGGACAGCGGGCTCCGCTCGGGTCGCCTGTAAGAACCGGCGGCTGTGTATCTCCTGCTGCCGGAACGAGTAAAAAAAAAAACAAAAAAAAAAAACAACTGCCACAAGGGAAGCGGCTTTATCGGTTCTCCTGAGAGAGAAAAAGAGCTTCACCTTTCGCGGCCGGGGCGAAAAGAGGATAAACATACGGCACTTCGCCACTTGGCCTAGCCCGACTCGACAGCGGGTCGAAGCGGGCCACGGCAGGCACCCGCCCCGCGGCCGCCCGGCCCCTCAAGCCTGCCGCCGTGATATCACGAAGAAGACGACAACATTAACAACGTAAAAGCCACATCAGCACCTCCTCCGGGCCCCGCAGCGACGGGGGAGACAAGAAAGCGACCCAGCCAGCCAGTGGCGGGCCGGGCGGCGGGGAGCGGGCCCACGGCCCCTCACACTGCGGCACCGGAAGAGCCCAGGGCCGGAGGGGGGAAGGGCGAGAGCCGGGAGAAAGGGCCCGGGAGCCCCGGGAGCTGCGAGGAGAGCGCTGGGGATGGGCCGGCAACACCACGAGCCTTCGAGACACCCCGCGAGCTTAACAACTTACAACGGCATCGTCTCTCCGGCCCCTCCTCCTCTTCCTCCGCCGCCGCCGCCACCACCACCGCGTCGTCCCCTTCTCCCTCCTCCTCTTCTTCGTCCTCCCCCACCACTGCCGCCTCCGGACCGGTCACTCGTCCCGCCAAAAAGCGGGAACCGCGACCATGGTACGGGCCGGGGTCAAGCCGCAGAGGGAGGAGAAAACCGATCGCTAGGCCCGGCCGCCGCCGCTTCACTTTCCTCTTCCCCTCCGGCCTTCTAACATGGCGCCCAAACGCTACCACAGCAACGTTCTAGCGCGGGGGGGGGCCTGACGCAGCGGCGCGGCCACCCCCGCACGCAGCGCACGCTGGCTCGTCCGCGCATGCTCAGAGGGGCCGCGGGGGGCGCAGAGCATGCTGGGAGCTGTAGTTCCTGGAGAGGAGGGGGCAGCCGGAGTTTGAAAACAAAGCGCTAACGGCTGCGGGTTGGCGCCTGCGCGCGGCTGAGGCCGGAGGGGAGCGGAGCGCCGGAGCTGGGCCGGGGGGCGGATCGGGGCGACTGAGGGCACCGCGGGGATTCCGAGCGAGGGAAAGCGCGGATTTTACCTGCCACGAAAACCGGCAGTGTGGGGGAGCGGGGCGGCCGCTGCCCTCCGCCCAGCGGCGGACCCCCGGGAGGGCACGGCGGGGTCTGCGACCCCCCGTCTGCTCCTTTGGGCAAGGGAGGGTTTCAGTTCAAAGCCGGCTGTGTGTGCCTTCCCCTCATGCCTCCCTGCGCTTCGGTTTGTGTGCCCCACACACAGCAAAGGGGTCCTTTTCTGATCATTGTTTTTGAACGTTCTGGATGGAATAAACGGCATGAAGTTCAGAAAAAAATTGTAGAAAACAAAATCACGCGCTTAACATGTCAACTCAAAACTTTTCTTGTTAGAAATGTATTATTCGACTGTCTCGAAAATCCCGTTTTACCTGCTTTTTTTAGCGTCCTATTTTCATCTTTACTCTGAAAAACAGGACTTGCAAGCTAAAAATTTCTCTAAAATTACCGATTATTTCATCTTCAGCTGCCTCGTGATAGACGGTAACTTGGACTAGCAGCGTACAGGAAATCTAGATCCCAAGAAATCTGTTTCTATGGAGTAGATAATGGTTCTGGACTCTTTCCTGGCTATAATTGTCTTGGCCGTGTGACTGAAAACACACGAGATGGGATTGTTTCTCTGTAAAAATGTTAATATATCTGAATAAGCACATCAGGCATTATTACATCTGAAATTCTAATACCAAAAGTAATAAAGTGTTTCTGAATCACCATTCTTTCAGTTCTTACTGTTTTTTCCCCTTCTCCCAAACAGACCCTGCTTTCTGTTTTGACAAAATCTGTATTTGTTTTACACCAAGTATGTTATCAGTTTCAGCTCAATAAGCACAGATATTGACAGTTTCTGAGAAAAGTGTATGAAGTCAGTAGAAAAGGGAATGACAGCCACATGCTGGAAAGTCTAGGTTCTTCAAGAATCTATAAACAACCCGTAGCAAATATTGAACGATGAAGAGAGTTAAATAAGAACTACACCCGTCTGTTTGATTCCAAAGAAAAACACAGGTTTAATGACGTAACTATGTGGGGAAACTGTTTATCAGTCAGTCTCAGTACAGCAAAAGAAGACTATGTTGCGTCACTTGTCTCATGGTAGCTGTGGGGGGGAAATAACAGACCTTGCTGCTTCTCTTTATTTCCATTTTCAGCAAAACTACGTTTTTTTTATAAAAAGTTTTTCTTCAGGCTAGGTGCCTACCTCCACTAAGGATTAGGACAATTTGAGTCTATTTATTGCTTAAATAGAATGTATAACTGAAAAAAATGCAAGAAGAAAGTTTTTGGCTAGAAAACAGATTCTTACAGTTCACTGTTTCAAAGAGACATGAAATACAGATATGTAAATGTATTAATATGTGTAGTAAACGGGACTTTTGTAGAAGGAATATTCAAAATCCAATATAACATAGTAATAAAGTATGAGAAATAAAAACAGAGATTACATAATAAGCCTAAATAAAAATAGTTTCAGAAACTAAATATTTTTTTAAAAATGCGTTAAAATTTTTTCTCCCTTTCTACTTCACACTTTTGATAGCTGTTAGGATTTAATGTCTCTCTCATTCGATACCAGGACTGTGCTTGAAGAGATATTCTGCCTATAAACAGAAGAGTTTTGAAGTTAAAATTGGGGACTTGAAAATAAGTGTAAAACATAACACAAAATAACAGAAAAAATTATAATGAATAACGTTGCTTTAAGGAAAATCACAGAAAGTATTAAATGGCTCTAAAATGTGATTCCTGGCAGATATGTCAGATAAACCTCTTCTCGACCAATACCATCCAAAATACCACCCACCTCATGCTCCCTCTCTGTAGCAGTCGCCCTGTCTCTACCATGGGCAAAAGAAGGAAGTGAGCTATTTATGACAGTATTTGTCACTCCAGGGAAAATCCTAGGGAACACCCTAGGGCCTGGCTTCTGGACCCAGAAGAGCTTTAAAAGTTAGACAGTAGGGAAGCTCTTATGCTCCTACAGCTACGGATAGATACAGTAAGCAAAAAGGTTAAAACAATGAAACATTCCTTAGTGCTTAAAGTGGCACACAACGCTGATGCTTTCATTTTAAGCTTTTCCTTGGTTAATAAAAAGTCTCTTTTCATTAAATAGTGGTAGCTTGTTAATAACTTTCTTAGTATGTGCAGGAAGAACAGCAGTACAGCAATAACTTCACTGCATCTGAATTCGTCTCTGAATGCAACGCTGACCCTGCTTTCAGCCAAAAGTGGAACCAGATTACTTTGTGAGGTCCTTTGCAACTGGAATTATTCCATGAATGTCTTAGAGGATTTACTCATTAATTTATCTGTGTATTCTGAAGGGAATTACTTCAAGAGCTTTCATTCATCATGACAGTAACATGTTCTGTTGTGCCTAGAGGGGTGTAAGCAGGATGGGGAGTGATGTCCCCCTTTCTGCAGGCTTCTGTCCCAGCAGAATTGGCAGGGTACATGAGATGTGTGGGGTGCACACGCTGACCAGAAACGGAGTCTCGTAGTGATTCATGTCCTGTTACTGTTTAGCAAAATTGGATTATACTCTTACTTGCTACACGGTATGAATTGATACCATAAAGTGTAGTTGCTGGGTTTTTAGTTTTCGCAATAATTACTGCAGACCAGAATTGTAGATACTATCTGTTAATTAATTGTCATCATGACAGTGGAAGAAAAAAAAGTTGTGTTAACAGAGATTCTTTGGGTCTATGTGAATGTTTGCATTAAGCTTTTTCAAACATGTATAAGAAAAAACGTAATCAGCTTACCAGAAAATCGACTGGATCATCTGGCCTGATCCTACAGCATTCATTTATCCCTTGCATAAGTGTTGGCATGACATTCTGCATTAAATAGTTTCGTAGTGGAATGGACTGGGCTTCCAGTAACTCTTGTTCTTGTCTTTTCACTTCCTCCATGTTTTTATTCTACAAATAATGAACAAAATCATAAAGTTTATAGCACTTGACTTTATTTAAGCACAAATAGCACTTGACTTTATTTAATAATAACAGTGGCCTAAAGGAAAAAAAATAATGTTAGAAGCTCCGGACAGGACTTTAAAACCTACAACTTGGCAGGAAAAACTAAGAACTGCTTATTAAATTTAGAGCATGTGGCACACTGAAGACAAAGAATTGAACATGATGAAAACGGAAATAATCTCCTTAGTAAAATGCTTTTATTTTTCTGTCTTTATATTCTGAAGTCTTCCAGTGGTTCTGTTTCCATAAGATATTTGGCAAAATGGTTGGAATACACTGTATCATTTAAAAAATTAGTACTATTGCAAATGCAGACAGTTTCTTGAGGTTTTTTTGAACTGGACAGGAAGGAGAATATTTTTACTCAGAAGAGAGCCCTGACTCTCTAAATAACTGTAAATAATTGTGTTGGGTTTTTATTTGTTTGTTTGTTTTGGGTTTGGTTTCTTTGCTTTGTTTTTATTTCATTTTTGTCAGTTTCCAAGGGGGTGAGACTTAAATTAAGTAAAACTACAGGGAATTACATCTGTTTACACCAAGGAAATTTATTCTTGAATTCAGGCTAAAACAGATACTATGATTGCACTCAAAAAGTAGGACAGGTGGGGAAATAAAATTGCTGCAAGTTTTTCTTTCTTCCATTTAATAGCACTTAATAGCATGCATACTTGCAGTAGTTTTAGCTAGGAGATTACTCAAAAACATTTTTATTGTCCTTTCTTCTCTCATTTTATTCATCAGTAGCCTGAGTCATATAGAGATACAGCAAGCAGATGAAACTCTGAAGACTGCTTTTCTGTACAAAAGCAATGTTCAGATAAAATGGATACACCAATATCTGGAAGAGGTATTTACCTTATTCACTCAATCCAGGAGTGCTATTGAATAAATCCTATAAATGGTCTTTGGTCACTGCTCAGAGACAGCAGTTAATCTACAGTTTCAAGGCAAATGAATAGTTGCTTAGATTTCCTGTGCATCTGCCTATTTAAAAGGTTACATTTAAGCACACATTTTATTTAAACGCTTATTTTAGCTTTGAATATTGCGCAGTTTGCTCTCTTGAAAGTCAGATGGCTTTGGATTGAAGATAGCTAAAAACATGTTAACTACCTTTACTAATCTTTTAGACAAGTTTACAGAGAGCACCAAATGCTATTTAAGGTTGAATGAAGCTGGAAATAAGTATAGAGATAACAAAAAAAACTTACAAGTCAACATCTGAGTAATGTAAATGCTTCTTTAGAAGTGAGTAATTTCAGGATATTATTTCCCCATAGATGTGTACGGGCATTCAAATGTAAGAAAAATATTTTTCTGTGGAATGATCAGTTTGTTTTTAAACACCTCTAGAAGATGACAACAGAAGAACTGCCTTCTGGTGAAACAACCTGAGTTTGGATGTGAATGAGAATGTTCTTAATAGTATGCATTTCAGGTTATTTACCTAAAATATGCTTAGGTGTAGCAAAGTAAAAAAGGAAAAAGCATCATGTGCAAATCCTGTGAGGTCAGGTAGCCTAAATACCAAGTACCTATTAAAGTATTAGGAACCAAAAAGCATCCTTCAGAGTGCATCAGGTAGTCGTCACTGAACTGAGGACTCAGGTCTCAAAGGTGTTTCTCTTGCAGGCTCAGAAACCTTTCTGCAATACAGGCTGGAATATTGATCAGTGTTGCGTTAAAAATCTTGTTTGAAAAGCATAATTAAGACTTGGTGAGCTGCTTCGAAGTGAGCAAAAGTCCTAGAAGACTGCTTATGGAAAAACACCATTGCTTATAGTAGATGTTTGTAAATGGTAAAATAAGAGAGTCCATCACAGCAACAAGAAGAGTATCGTAAAAGTATTTTAAAGACATGCTGATACCGACATGCCAAAAAAATGCTGTCTGTAATCAAAAATACATTGGGCATCAAAATGCACTGTGAAGATAATCTAACCCAGATCTAAAGTATGGTATAAGGAACTAGAGAATTTATGTCACTTTCCAAGTGACATCTACTTAATGGTTTGCTGGAAGCCACCTAAAACACATAAATAATAATAGTTTCCCAAAAAATATATATTAACCTACCCACTCTTCCCAAATTGCCATCCTTTCAGCCCTTTCCTCAGCTTCTCTACGCTCTTGTTCTGCTTTTTCTTGAGCTTCTTTGACAAGGTGTTCCTCAGCTGCTTTGCGTTCCAAAATCTCCTTTTCTTCATCTGTCAAACCATAATTCCGAGGTTCCCCAATTTCTTTGATGATCTCTTTTACAATAAATCGGTTCTCAGGATCTTCAAATTTGGCTACATCTTTTAAACAATACAAGAGAGAAATTTTCACAGCTTTTGTCAATGATCAATAGACATCAGTAAATAATGGCAAGACCTAAGAATATATGGTGTTCGTGCTATTTTAATTTTCAAGTATGTTATTTTCAGTTGCTTATAAATGCCCATTTTTTTCTACACTGAATTAAGTTTTCTACATCTGATTTTATTTACTTGTTTCAGCTAAAGTAGTTTGCCCTTTTAAGATGACGTAAGGGAGAAATGTATCAAAATAATTTTAACAACTATTCTGTTTATCATTTGCAGCTTGCCTAAGTTTTGGAACTTAAAATGAGGTCATTCACTATCAGAGATGTTCCTGTCACCAATCCTCTGTCAACTTATCTAGATGCATAAAACCATCAGCTTTTGACCCTGTCTTCCCTGCAGGTTACACAATAGGTTGTTAGGATTTGGCAACAGACTCCAAAGTTTTCACTCCTACAGATTTACAAATACACAGATCTATCTCTAGTTGAACTCTTACTGTGTTTTATCTACAAATCTGTAGCTCCATGTAGGAGCATAGAGACTGAGCAAGACCTTCTCTTTCATTTCATTCCTTCTCCCTTTTGATTGCTGAAGGCTTCTTGTGTATTAAACTTGAGAAAAAAGAAGGAAAAGAAAAAAAAATACAGAAAAATGAGGACTGTCAGCAGGGCTTTCTGGGCTCTGTATGCATTGAGTGTGGGGAGGCATCTGGCAGACAGGGTATAGAAATGTGCATGGAAAAGAAGAAATGTGGACTTATCAGGTATCCAGAGAACACAGAGATAAAGGGCCTGTTCATTGGTAAGGGACTGGAGAAGTAAAGGCACAGAAATAGGTAAAACCAGAACAACCAGATGAGAATATTTGGATGAGAATCCAGTAGTCCCCACTCCACAGTCCTCTGCTTTATGAAGTTATTTTGAAAGCCATTGGCAAAGCATGCTTCCCATTTCTTCCTAATCACTAATTTGGACAGAAGATAGCTGTCCAATGCTAACACCATTATTGCAAGAGTTCAAGTGTTTGTGATTTGGACCTGAAGTCCAAAGTCTGCTAATGAATTGAGGAGAAAGCTAACATAATTCAACATGATAAAATTTCTTTTACAGCTTTTTCTTTCCAAAAAATCAGTAATTACATCCCTGAAGTATTCAAAATTAAAAGAATAATACATCTTCTACATCAAGCAGTCCATTGTTTCTACAATTTTAGCTGCACCTGGATATAAAAAAACCATGCAAACCACTTTTCTAGTAGTTTAAGGTATTGCTAAGAACTCTTTAAGCATCGAATTTGAGGTCTCAAAGACTGCATTTTTTTCTTAGATGGCCAAGAAAGATTACAATGCAAATATTACAGTGATCATCATTAACTACATTTATCTTCATAAATAAATAGCTTTTAAATAAAAAATTAGGTTAGCACTGATATGAATGGAGAGCAAAGATCACCAGAAAAGAAGTTCATAAATTAAGATCTTCAAAGGAAATTGCTGTTAAAACTTTAACATGCCTTTTTGTAGATGATCTAACATGCCTGTGTCACCATCCCCAATTTGCAGATGAGAAAAACAAGACACAAGATACAGTGAGTCACTGTAGCAAAGTAGGGTTTCTAGAATCTTGAAGCCCACTCCTTTGCACTAATCATATTTCAGACTCAGAAAAATAATAATCATAAAAGCAATTCATAAAGCCATATGTTATGAATTTCTAAAATTAAGGTGGAAGAAAGGTTGATTAATTTGAGTCAATATTTAACAAATCAAGCACAATTTTTTAACCATTTCCCACTAAATTCCTTCAGAACGTGACTGAGAAAGCAGTTGTCTCTGTTTAAATCTGATGCTACTTAATTCTATGGATCTGATAAACCCTCAGCCACAATGGAGGAGTATTTGCAGAACTGAAGGTTCCTCACTGAAGTTATCTTTGCAATCTGTCCTTGCCATTTCACAACAGAACACTATAAGCTTGCATACTTTGGTGAGTAACAATCAGTGACATAAATATAGGTAAAGAGGCAGTTTCGGAGATAATCAGAACATAAAGATAATGCTTCTTTGAAGATGAGAGTCAACACTATAAACTGAATATGAAAAATCATCTGGAAGTCACTGAATGCGCAGTTGTGATACGTGAATAATTAAAATTAGTAGGCCAGTGAGTTTCCTTATTTGGAATGGACTAGAGTAATCTTTGGGCATAACTCTTAGCAGAAAACACTGCAATATTCTATCATAGAGTATACACTTTATAGTCCCCACAAAAATGAATCATGGTCTTGGACAGTGCTACTACTTGCATAATGAGAAGTGTCTAAGATAAGAATATGACTAATTGATGGCATCAGACCTTAATATTTACCATATCTTACATTTACTTTCTGCAGCCAAATTACCTCAATTCTAAAATGATTATACTAACACGCTATTTTTTTCCACTACTACACTTCCTAACAACACACGTATGGTATTATTCTCAAGATAATCTACATGACTGACATTAAATTTAAAAGAAAAAGTAAATCAATTATGACTGAGGCTGTTCAACAATTAAATTCTCATAACTGATGTCAAATGGACATTCTGAATATCAGCCGTTTGATTTTAGTAGCAGGGTTTTCCCTTGTTCTTTCTTCTGTCCCCATCTCCAACCCCCAAAAACCCCACCAAAACCAAAACATTTTTCTTAAGAATGTTGTCACCCTGATCTCACTTTTTTTGAATAATCAAATTATAGTAATCCTCTCAATATTTCCTTGTAATCACAATTTTCTAGATAGTGTGTAGGGAAGACAAATTTTCTCATATACAGGTATAGTACAAAACACAATCAGTGCTAGCCTTCCCCCTTTAATCTTTAATAATTTTGTTCCATGCTTCATCATTTACAGATTTCCCATATATTGTTATGGCCTCTGAGGATAAATCTAAAGAAAAAATATAAAAAAATATGAGCAACTATAATACTGAAAGTCCATGAAAATATACTGTTATACAAATCTGGAAGGATGCCAGTGCAGAGGTCTGTAACCTAAGTCAGAAAATTATTTTGATAAATTAGCCTACAAAAATGAATAATGAAAACCCCTATTTGTAAAAAACAGATTAACTGTATGAGAACAATTCATAATCCTTATGAGTATATGGATATTTTTGCAGGTCTATATTTAAATGCTGCTTGTATATATATTCTGCAATGTTAATTAAAAATATTAGATATATATTAATCATATTGCTATCTTATCTTCACAAGTGTTAAATTTGTAACAACAAAACCTTTTTATTCATATTTTACGTACTAATTTTATTATTTCATACCAATAAACTGAGGATGTATTTCAAGTTCGTCAAAATAGTTGAGAACAGTCTCATCTTCTGTGTTTAACTCTCGGAAGAGGTTCAGGGATTGCAGGAACCGGTCCTGGGTATAATGAGTTCCAGCCACAACACTCTCTGGCAGATTTATTATTCTGTTTATAAGGAACTGATCAGATGCAGTCAAAGAAATAACGAATTCTGTGAAGAAGGACACATTATCAGTGCTTATGTGTTACTGTTTTTCTTCTTACCTTTTTTCAGTTAATACATTTTAAACTACAATTGAACGTAAATAGATGTGAATTGGTTATATCTTTATAGAGAATTTATTTATCAAAAGCTTATACTCAACTTCTCTGGGTAGAGCAAGCCAACATTATTGAGACGTATGTCAAGAAACTACATATTCCAATTTCACCAAATTCTTTCTTAGCACTATTCTTGCAATGAACAGCACAAAAATATTAAAAACAGCAATCCAGTGTAGTCCAAATTTTCTGAGAGAGTTATCATACAACTAATACATGTAATAAGTATAGAAGGAAAAAAATTCTCATGAATTCTGTAGCCAAAGCAGCAAGTAACACTGGAAAATTTAACAACATGTTTATCAATTCATCAGAAGTCATCATCCTTTATTGTGATTTTTAATCTCACAAATAAGAGTGTATCTGCTGAATTAAAGTAAATTAAAAAAAAAAAAATCTAGTAGTACTTGAAAGATACTATGCTACCACATGCTATAAAAATTTAGCGTCAATGTTATTTGTAGTACTATTGGTAGATAAAACCACAAGAAAACTTTCAAAGATTCATAAAAACATCCCCGTCTCCTTTCTTCACTTCTGAAATGTCATATTTGAAGTTTCATCAGGCTGAATCTTGCAGTATTTTATTTACTCAACAATCAATTTGTATTTGTTATATATGGCATCATGTAATTTATCACAATATATTCTGATATTTCTATTAATATCCTTACACAATACTAGTGAAACCTGTTAATTTAACAAAGCCAGGAAGTAATTTTTCTGACATCAGAGAGAAATCAAGAACAACCCCCCACCTCAAAAAAACCCACCAAAAAACCCAACCACAAACCCAAGAAGGCCTGCCCAAACCAATAAAAATCCTTTCTGGCCCATTTTGTTCTCTCAAACAAGTTTCCTCCAAGGTTAAGAAAGTAGCTTCTTAAAACTTCTTAAAACAGATCCCGTGCCTGCAGTGCTTATTATGGGAGAGAGAGTGTTACTTCTCCATCATAATAATTCATTCCCATTTCCTTTTTTGAAATGGTGGCTAAAAGTGGGTTTGTTTATGAATAACAGAAAATATTCAGAAATCAGCAATTCATAAAAGGTTAAAAACTTGTTAGAAGCCTGCCTTTTAAATCAAATCTTTGTCCCCTTCATGGAAGTGCAAGGACTAAGGAATTTTTCAGAAAGTTTTGAATTTCCTTCACTTCCACTGAAGCCAGTAAATTATTTACTGAAACACTAAGCATTTGAGATAATCAATCCTTATAGTGTCTAACCATACACATCTCTTGTAATGCAAAATATGCCAAATTTATTGTTTGAATGTAATGAAAACTTCCAAAGAAATCAAGAATAGCGAAAAAAGCAGGATGAAGCTATTTCTGCATAGATGAAAATTACTCTATTTTAATTCCCAACTTTACTGATGCATTAAAATGAATTTGGTAACACCTTTCAAGATATCATACTAAAGATAAACTAATGTTTTTTTAGTATGCCAAGTTCAGAAGCTCATTTTTGTTCCATTAATAGCTGCTGTAATCACAAAAAAGGCAGGCACTACTATTGTTATCAGGCAACAGTTGATGGCATTTTCACAAAAAGAAGGATAAAAAGCCCACAAAGCAACCCAAAACCTTCATTTTGATTAATTGTTCACTTTCAAATAAAAGGACAGCAGCATTACACAAAATAGATATTTATTTTATGGTAAAATAAATGTGAACAGATGGAGTGATATTTTAGACTTCTCGTTGGTGGCAGCAGTATTTCAAAACTCTTCTGTTCATTTAAAAAGAAATCTATTAAACTTACCAGGTGTGATTAATTTATTAAATTTAGGTATTTTGCTTTTAATTTCTTCTTCTTCATCTTCACTTTCCACTAAAACAAAAGTAAGAAATGATTAACATTTTCATTTGAAGCAATATTTACTGAAAATGTGCCCAGTACAAACATAGGTTTGTCTGTATTCAAATTATATGAATTGCTGGAAATTATTCTAACCTAGACACCAGTTTAGATAATTGAGTAAATAATGAATGCTGCCAGCCACCACCGAATTCTACCTTGGGACAATAATAGTTGTTTACCTGTATAGCAGAACTATGCACATACATACACCATTTTAAAATGTGTCCAGTTTTAAGACTGCTGTCCTGACCCTGCCTTTTCCTCCTGCCAAGTACAATATTCTTCCAAAAACAGAGACAGGGGTCAGAACAGTGAGTAGGAATGTTTTACAGTAGTATTGTTAAAATACCTTAGTTAGGCCACTAAATGTCTGTTGTTCTGTATAATCAGTAAAACTGCCTGAAGAGCATCAGCTGAGCATGATCATTTACAGCCCAGCATACTAAGCTGAACATGACAGGGGTTCTTCTTCCTTCAAACCTCATGATGTAATTTCCACATGGAGATGATTCTTGGTCTTAATTCATGGACAGTGCTTGCTTACAATTTGAAATGTATGTCGCAGAGCGCCTCTGAAGTCATATGTACTGTAGCCAATCTAATATATCCACTCTAATCTGTTTCACAAAACATATATTGGTGCACTGACTGGATCCTCTTATTAAGCAGCCCTTAAATATTATGATGAAATTCTGCCTTAGAGCTTGCTTGCATAGAGCAGACCAACACAGAAAAAGAAAGCATCCTCCATATTTGTGCATTTACTTAGTATTTTGCCAGCAGAGACAGTCTGAAAACCATCTAGTGCTTAAATTAAATAAGGTGCCTTACAATCCTTCTCACATTTTAAGCACTGTGAAAACAACTTTGTTCTGTGTCCTGCACTGCAGTCGTTACAGTGCTGGTGCACTTCAACTGCTATGGCACTGAGAACACTAATGACAATGGCAGTGTCAGCAGCAATAACAACCAAAGCAGCAGTACTTACAATTAAAGAGATCTTTTGCTTGGTCATAGGTCTCTGGAAACCCATCTAAAACATATCCCTGATTACTACAAGGCATAGATTTAAGCTTGTCCTTCACAAATTTTATAACATACTGATCATCTAGACGACCTAAGACACAAAGAAGCTTAATAGGTATCTAGTTTATGGAAAAAAAATAGATGAAATTACTTTACTAACATTTTAGTTCATTTATCAGAGAAACTTCTATTTAGACCCTAAAAAAATATCTGTTTTCGAGTTATTTGTATATTACATGTTGTCAGCAATCAATGGATTATAAATGTGTAGCTATAAAATAAAATTACATTTGTGTTCAAAAGGATATGAATATTAGAACCTTAAGGATACTAAATGTGAAGGTGTTGGGTTTTTTTTTAGAATAATGCAATCAGATTTTAATAGTAGCAGTAAAGAAATATTTATAGGGAAAAAATGTGACAAAGCAATAATTTTATATTTGTAGTTTACAGTAAGATTAAAGATAGTCTTGCAAAACAAACATGAGATAGGCTTTACAAGTTTCATTTTCAGATTAATAGACTGAGATATGAAGTTGTTTATTAACTTGGCCTAAGTTGTTGAGAAATTTGTGAGAGTAAAAAGCTTGGTTTGATACGATTTTTTGTTCTTTTGCAACCATTGACTTCAATTTCCTACTTTATTTTGCTTTGGCCTTTAAAAATCTTAAATATTTATAAACCATTGTAATTATAAAAGTATGTTACCATTTTAGAAGACATTATTTTAAACAACAAAGTAAGGCATGCAGAAGAGATGCTGTCATAGATTTCATTACTGAAGCTTCTGGGTACATTACAAGTTCATTGCTTTGCAGACACACAAGATCCAAATCAGGTAAACCTTTAGTGATAGAATGCATTTTTAAGGAGGAGCAATTTATACCACATGGAAAATGTTAAGCACTAAGTCAAAAACTACATGACTCTATGCATATGTAGATAGTATAGATGATAACTAGTACTTTTCAGTAATGGCAATTTTTATTGGCCTTTTTCAATCTGCAGGCTTGAAGATTCTTTACATGCTTCAGTAAATACTATTTACATTTTAGAGATTGCCAAAATGAGGTATAAGGTGCTTAAAAAACCCCACAACCTCATATGACAGTGCATTAATTCTTTTTCTTACTAGAATACTTTTCCTCTTTGCATATTTGCTAAAGATGTGCTTCACTTTTCACTTTATATTTTACAATTTATGTTCCCTGTTCTGAGAAAAAAACACAATGTTTTTAAAAACATCTGGCCAAGAAGAATCTAATGCTTCTGAGTATATTGTTACTTATATAACAACTTACAGGGTAAAAAGAATTATATTAAATGTTTTAAAAATATAAAGATGGAACTTCTACAATTAAAGAAGCACCACAGGATTTTTGAAAATATGTTTTAATATATAAGGTATATAGCATATAATGTAAAACATTGTATTTGTTTTTTAAATAAGGCACATACAAATGTGTCTTTTAATAGAATGTAAACATTCTAAAGCACAAATATACTTTGTATTTCCTACCTGAATTCTGCTCCATGTTTTCTTTTATCTCATCTAGTAACTCTTGTGCTGCTTCTGCATCTTTACCCTCCTTCTCCTCTTCATCATCTTCTCCCTCTTCTCCCACACTGTCTTTAGACACCACGATTTTCTCCTGAACACAAGATCAGAAATATGAATAGGCTCAGAAATTCCACAGCCAAATTTCTTTTATACTCAGATGTAATAAAAGGAAAAAAAAAAACCAAACACAAAACAACAATTCCTTTCATATATGCTCCTAGACGGAGAGCTACTGAGCAACCTTTAGCCTCTAAGAAGAGTTCAGTGAAACCCCCAGAGGTGACCAGTATTTCAAAAGATATTTCCATTCTAAAATAATGGAATTATATCTAATTTTTAAATTTTTTAATTATATCTAAATTTTTAAATTTTTAAAATCACAGAAATTAAAATAATAGCAACATTAGAAAACAGCAACACACCAGATTTGCTATTGTTTCAGAAATCACATCTTTTATCTTAATGTGATGTAGTTTGTAGTGTTTGCAGAGTTCTTCAGCAATGGTAGTTTTGCCAACCCCAGGAGGACCATGAATGCAAACTTTGAGAGGCTGGAAAAAAAAAAGAAAGATATAACATCATTCAAACAATACAGGTGCTTTTATTTAAAAGGAACAATCTTTTTACTGTAATTAATAGGAAATAACGATTATAATTAAAACTGAAAAATTATTTTAGTTTTATTCATTTATTTATTTCTTGCTGAGTATCACCTGTATCACCCACAGGCTTTGAGTAACACAATTACTTAAATTAAATGTACAACTTCACCATTGGAGAAGAAACATGCTTCTATTTACTACACTCACAAACCAACTTAGAGCGGCACTATTAGTATTTGAATGGTTAAAATAGACGAAACACAACCCTATAAACAGGATGCAGTGAATTTTGGAATGAGGTGGCAGATATTCCACTAGACATGTGCAATATCTCTATTTCCCAACTCAGATTTTGACCTCAAAAACTTCAGATCTATCACAACCTTAAAATATTTATGATTTCTCATTTCAGCCTACCTAGCCTGTGTATGAGTAAGTGTAATTCACATTCCAATATACACTTATTAAATATATTATATATTTATAATATATATTTATATTATATATTTATATATTAAATATATTATACAACAAACTCAAAATCATACATCATTAACTGCCTGTCTTAATTTAGTAAATCTGACAGTGCAAACTCTGCAAATTTAATAGAGTAGTGACAGGGGCAGAGGTCTAGCTAGCCTTCCCTCTCCTTGCCACTTTGTATGTCTGTAATTTGTACTGAATTTTTTGAACTACATGCAAACGTTCTCAGATGCATTAGTTTAACCCAGATGTTTAAAGACAGATCTGATAATCTTTTCAGAGGTATGCAGGGACCTTTTATGAAGAACCTTGAACAGTAGCAGTTGTGTTTAGTTTTACACCTCTTGAACTCTTGTTCAAAGTTTGACCAAGATTCAGACATGCTGAACAACTTTATCATGCCAATCAATACTGGAATGTATGCAAGCATTTTTCTGCATCTTTCAATAACCTTCTCTGTATGTTTGAATGCAGAAGTTCTAACCACTAAGCTAACATAGGAAACAGCAAAGTTGCTCACTACATTACACAATAGAGCAGGGTAAAATGAAAGCTACATTGCAGTTGAATATCCTAGCTCACTAAATATAATGAAGGACACAAAATAGTTGCCTAACTACTGGCTGTTGTGAAAAAGCTTAAATAAAGGATACACATCTTGTGTTCTTGAAGCAAAATATACCAGGAATGCCATATATTGCATACAGAAACTAGTTCCAGAACTAGTTTCTCCATCAGCAGCTTCTCCATCGGGAAGCTTATTTGCATTTACAGGATTTTAGTTTTAGGCATAAAGGAAATCAAACTTAATTATTATTGTTTTAATTAATATTCTCTCTAACTTCTTCAATTTAATTTTCAGGTTTTATGTTCACTTATTTTGCATCTATATCGGTCTTCCATGTGTTTTTACTTAAAGAAATTAAGGCTTGTGTTCCTATAACCATTTCTATTGGGGGGGGGGAAGCAAGCAGCCCTTAAAAATCGTGTACACCAAACCATTACCAGTAATCCTCGACTTTGCTTGTATTCCTTGACGATTCGTTCAATGTTCTCCACCAGTCCTGCCAGAGCAACCCACTTAATGTTGAAAATCTCTTTCAGAAGCATAGATTCCATTCGCAGGTTCACAAGCAACATATCCAAATGCATTTGCTGAGGGAGCAAAGCTACATTTATTTTCAGAATTAAGCTGTGCCTGTTAGAAGAACACTGTTACCTTGATCTAGGGACTAGAATGGAAGCATGAGAACAGAAAGAATTAAAGCACAGGGAAAGAAGGTTTGCACACACAGCAAAACAAAACATTTTAAGCTTTCAAAAATATAAACATTTTTAATATAAAAAATAAATATATTTGTATTTGAATGTTCTTATGAATTATTAGAATACGAATCATTAACCAATTATTCTGTACAATACAAAAATTCCATATAATGGCAGGGAATAACTTCTTCCATAAATTTATCAAGTACCATCTTAAAATTACCAGGGTTGTATTTTGTTTATGTCTCCTATGAGCAATTTATTACAGATAAATAGATGAATACAACATAATTTATATATGCTGTGTTCATCAGCCTTAGCAGCACTTCATTATTAACCTTTTTTTGTTATTTTTATAATTTTGTGTAGGTTTTGTTAGAGTGCTGCAGTATGCTCAGTGCAACAGTGATATCAGTGCTTCACTGCTTTTCTAAATCGGGCTGCAACTCCTCAAAATAGTCTGTTCTATGGTGGTTAAATTTTAGTTTGTTTATTTTCTAATTTAAACTCACTTTATATATATATATAATTTTAGGCATGTTTTAGGGTTAAATTCTTCTGGTGAAATAAAAAAAGAAATCATATATTTCATGGTATTATACTCTTAAGTTTACATCCTTTCCTTAAGTAATAAAAGGAAAACAATACTAACTGTTAACTCTTTGCTCAGGAATGCATTTTCTTTTGGAATCTTCTCAATTTTTCCTGGCCCAACATTTTTACTGATACACTATTGAGAAAGAAAAAAAACAAAAGAAAACAAAACCACAAAAAAACACATATCAAATCAGATTCGTCAAAAAAATTGAAATACGTGCTTTAAATTTTGTGTTACACTATACCTGAAAAATCAGTATACTGATTTGAAATAGACCAAGAACAATATATTAACTTTAATGTTAGTATTAAACACCTTTGTTTTGCTATATGATTCTTTTAGTACTTGCAATAAAAAAAAAAACAAAATAAAAACCAAACAAAAACCCAACAACAACCAACCAACCCAAAACCACAGAAAAGTGTTCCAAAACTCTTAAATCTATGTACAACTTCCTACTGCTTAAGATCTATTTGGAGACCTATTTTATTGCTGAGCACTTTCACTTCAGGTTCTTGAAGTATTTAATTCTGTAAACAATCAGGAAGCGTTTTCAGATGAATGCCACCACCAATGACTCTGCGTATAACATTTGCATTTCATCATTAGACAGAAATTGTTAGTTACTCCTACAGCTGTTAGATTAAAACCCCACTAGATTCCATAAAATCATAAAAACTGGTAGAGTCAGATAAAATCTACATATATTCCAGCATTCTCCAACGATGTCAATGAGTGGATGCCTAAATGAAAGTAAGAATGGGAAAAGCATATATGATCCTCCTTCCAGATACTCTTCAAATCTTCAACTTTTTTTCAGGTCAGATACTTCCTAAACTAGAAATAGCTGCTGTATGTTTAATTCTCAAGGTATTTCTCTCCCATGTACCTTTCCAGTTTTCCCCCGTGCTGGTACAACTCCCTGCCTAGATAGCACTCTGCAGCATGCTCTGCAACACTCTCTCCACTAGCAATTTCCTTTCTCTACAAGAATTGTTCATTACTCTTGTCCTCTCTTTCCCATTTCTGAACAATCACATGCCCATGAGAGGACCCAGCCAGTTTTCTGAGAGTGCCTAGCTGCTTCTCAATAGCTTTTGGTGAAGTACTTCTTTGAAAGCCTTTGGGGAATTCAAGTACACTCCATCAACTTGTTCACCTTTATCCACATTTGCTGGTCACATCAAAGTTTTCCAAAGTATTTGAAAGTATTTGAAAGTACTTATTTAGAAAGTATTTATTGAGAAAATATATTACAAAAGTCACTCTTCCCAAATAGATCATATGCATCTGGGTTCCTTTAATACATTTATTTTTTATAAGGTCTAATAATGTACCTGGTTATTAGACAACAGTATTAGGCATATTGGCCTGTAATTCCCAAAAGAGTTCAGGAAGCTCTCTTTTTACATTGGCATCACATTTATCATCCTCCAGCCTTCAAGTTCCAGGACTGTGCTAAACAGCATGTTGCATGTGTGAATTAGCAATTCAGAATTATTTATTCCTTGAGTTATTTGAGACCTCTTCAGTGAATACCATAAGACTCCAGTGGTTTCTTAGAGTTCATTTTGTCAGTTCATTCTGTAATCTTTTTCTAGGGTTACTTTAGTTTTTTACAGATCCTCTAACAAGTTATCTACAAAAAGATCCTGAAGCAGTAAGATGCTTCCAAATAAATTCTTAGCCATGCCCACTAATGCAAAGCATTTCTGCTATGGCCTTGTCTTCTCCAAGTGCTCTTTTTGTACCATAATCATCAATTTGCCTTATAGAATTTCGGGCAGGCTTTTTGTTCTTTAATTGTTTGAAAAAAGGATATTATTTTTGAGTCTTTCCTGATAGTTGATCTTCAAGTGTTTCACTTATCCTGCCAGATTTCTTGATCTTTTCTATTCTGTTTTCTTTATCTAGACAAAAGCATAACTTTTTGAAGTTTGACATCTTGTTTTCTTCAACCTACACTTTTATGATAGTAATTGTAATTTTCTCTTTCCCAAATGTTTCTTAATAAGCAGCATAAAATGGCCTTATATGGTTTTTAATGCGAGTTTCAATAGCCACTACCCTTCTCCTCTAAGAACTTAATATTTTTAATGTCTTTTGTGCTCATTTTTATATAATGCTCTTTGCTATGGTTGACCGTAGCTGTAAAAGTTATTTTGACCTTTTTTTTTTTCATAGGAATGTTGACTAATTGCATTATGGTCACGTATACAGAATGGCTCTTCAACTATTAACTTTTCAGTGAGACCCTGTATCCTGAACAAAACAAAGGTTGCATCTTGTGCCTAACACACTGGTCCATGAAACATTTTATGACACAACCAAAAATTTGCTTGGTCCTTACATAACATTTGCTCAATCTACATGAACAAGTCTCCTATTATATTGTATTTAGCTGACTCCCACTGTCAGTGTATAGTTCAACAGTGTCATCAAGACTATTTCTAGAGTTAATTTCAAAATACTTGGAAACCCAAGATATCTTCCCACAAAATGAAGTGAAAAACATCTTATAGACTGAGGATCCAGTCATAGTACTGTGAATGCCATAACAATTCACCAGAACTTTCTTAGGTAAAATTTCTACTTAATACTGCAAAAGCCGGTTCTGCAAATTCAGGTTTAAGTAATTTATTTTGTTCAAAGGAAAGAAGTCTCGGAGGATTTCAAACTAATTTTCCTTGTCATTTACTACACAGGATAATTCAGGAAGACCTAGGAACTTGGACTTCAGTAAAATGTATAGCTTTTAAAACCTTAAAGATATCTGAAAAAAAAAAAAAAAAAGAAAAGAATCACATCTCTTACCTTTATTAATTCTTGAAGAGTGTGCATAGATGAATCAACTGCAAGTATATAGCGAGAGTGTGGCCTGTGGTCTGCTATATTTTGTAACACTCTAAAACATAGCAAGTACAGCCAGTGCTGGTAGTTAGAGAAGCATACTGGGCTTTCATTGTTAAATGTATTTCAGAAACAGTACAAAGAGTTTCTAAAATCTTGCAGAACTTTTTAGAGCATGGTATTTTCATGTATATTTTCCTTAATAAAGAAGTACAGCTAAATGTTTTTTTTTTTTAAAGAAGTTCAAAGGACAAAAAGCAACATCTCTAGAAGATATTAACAGCCTGCTGTGGAGTCCAGGATCCATTTCCAGTTCTATGCCAGTTTAACTGGTATCACACTCTAGATTGAGCATTGCTAGTAATTTCTTAAAAGCATAGCAGTGGTGCAACAGTCAGATAAGATTTTCAGGAGGCATATCTAGTACTAAAGAACTGGAAGTCTCTGTTTGATGTAGTAAGAAGGGCCAAAGAGGATTCTTAAACCCACCCACTCCAATTTAATAGGCTCAGTACTCTCCGGTAGATTTGCATTTATTATCCAGCTTGGTATCAATTATTGTACAGGGGAATTTTTTTTTACTTACGCTGCTAAATCAAGAATATGAATAGTTGGTATAAAATTGTTTCCATCTCCAAAAACAGGTATTGCAGGAGTCTCATTAAGCCAACCTATCTGAAAATACAAATGCAGAAAAAGTGAGGAAAAAAAGTTTACTTTTAACTAGAACTAAAAAAGGAGTATTTTTTTACTAGAATTTAAAGTTCAATTTCTTGAATTATTAATGGAACTGCAGTAAAAGAAACAAGTCTTCAGAAATACTGACTGGCAGCCTACAAAACCTAAGAAACTTGCTTGGGTTTTTTTTAAGAATATTCTTTGACTTTGACAAATGTTATTTTGTATTGTAAATAAAAGAAATGCTTGGAAAAAATGAGAATATAATGTTGAGAAGAAAGACTTTTTTCCTGATTCCACTGATAGGACAGACATGTTCTTAGTGTAAAGTACGTATGGAGATACTGTTCAAAAACTATGGAAAAAAAAATATATATATATGGAGCCAAACATATGGAAAACACTTCCACTGTACCTAAAACATTTCAAAGAGATCAAATAATCAGTTTGTTCACAGAAGCATTAAGCTTATGATACAAAGCTACTAAAAATGCATTCAATTCCAATATGGTTTGTCCCTAGAAATTAAATGAACCTTCAAAAATAGTTGGATATCTACCTTAAAAAAGTAGTGCAAGAGTCCTTCCCCAGCTCCATATTGGTGTCCTGAGGCAACAACATAAGTTGAAAATTTTTGTTTGTTCTGTGAAGTAAAATCACCAAGAAAGGTTTTATAAAAATACGGTACTGCAAATGGGATACTGGCTTACCCTGAAACTTGAGTACTTGTGTAGTAAATACACAAAGCATGTAAAACTCAGTTGAATGCAACAGCCTGTTAGTAAGCACAAGAAACATTAAAATTGGAAGACATTGCAGATAGCATAATAGCTCACACATGTAGTTTCCTTGGGTAGCACCGTGACAGAAACTGTTTGTACCCTACGAGCAGCAGCTCCCAGGATTGGTTTGGGCAGACTGCAAACATGCCCCAGAAGAAAACATCCTGTAATTTTCATTTCCCAGCAGGAAAAACCTGTCTCTTGAGAAAGCACAGGAGGTGCTATTTCTTATTTCCCTTAAAAAGAATGTAACACATAGGATTTTCTTCCATTTACCTTGCAGTAGCCACTTACGGAGACAAGCCATGGTTTGGCACCGAGTGCTAACATCACTGAAAAACAAACCTCTGAAACAGGTTCGATTTCTCTAAAATTATCTATTTAGTGTCATAAGTCACACATATGAGAATATACTACTTGAGATGACTTGGATGTACTTCCTTTAAAAAGTAATACAATTATTAGGCAAGCTCAAGTTACACACAGCATGTGTAGGTGTGGGTAAAGACCTTCAAGTTCCTGTGTAATATCCACTAAAGCCACTAGATGTCACATTCTAGCTATTATAACCAGTTCCAGGCTTTCGATGTTTTACTTTTTTTTGTTTTCTTGTAAGAAAATGCTTGGAGTGAGAAACAGGTCTAGATTCAGGAACTGTGATGCCACTGAGAACAAATCCGGGAGATGAAGAGCTCCTCTGTTTGTGGCAGGCAGATGTTTCTCCAAGGATTCTGAATTTGTCAGGACTCCAGAGTGAACATCTTTGCTCTGAGAAAAGCTACACAGCCCAAATGCCTTGACACAAAGATAAAAAATTGCTAGTGGTAAAAAGCAAAGACTTCCAGCTCATAGCTCTTGCTAAATTTTAAGCAAAATATAGGTGGGAGATACACTAACTCTGAGGAGTGAAACCTTGCTTTGAGCCACAACAGCTGTTAAATTGCACTCTGAACAGAAAGGAAGGCTTCTGTTCTTGAGTGCAAGATCTTTACATGACTGACACAGCTGATGAATCTCAGTATTTCCCGATGAGCTGAGTGGCAACGCTGTCATTTCTTCCATAGGTGGCACGTTCCCCAGATGCCCCTGAACTTAGAAATGAGTAAGAACTACAATTCAGAGGTCCCCAGCCATCACAGGAAGCTAATACTGATCTGCTGGGAAGAACAGATGCTTTGGAGCCTTCCTGTTCCAAATTGCTGACAGAAACTAAACAGGGGTTGATGATATCCATTGAAGCTGCCTCTGGAGGTCTGGAGGAAACGGGCTCCTTTTGAAATGCCCACAATAGGTATATACTGAAAATACTCAAGTTGCTTTACCACGTACTGCTACATACTGTTCTACTGTCTTCTCAGCAGACAGTCAGACTGGCAAACATTTAGAAGCTAATGCTATATTAATACCTTTGTTATGTAGTGACTCAGTGCTTTGGACTAGTCCCAAAAACTGAGTCAATAGTTCATCTGAGTGTTACTGGTGGCAGAAGTTATTGTGAGGTTTGGTGGACACTGTTTACAGTCTTCACGTTTCTATCATAAGTATGAACGTTATTCCATAGTCTTATAGAGTAACTCCATGTTAGCATAGAAAAAGTAAGAACAATTTATCACTGATTTTTCAAGCTGTAAACCAAATTTTACTGGCATTTTGTACTATTAAACTCATGTCAGAATAGAATATAATTTCTAGTGCTATTTTCTCAGCAGGGCATAAGATATGATATTAGTGTGATATAATATACAAGTGTATACTCAAATCAGAGTAAAGTTTTTTTCCTCCTCTATAATTAGCCAGATGTAAATTTCTACAATGGACACTAAATTATATTTATTATGGGAGACTGCTAGCACACAAAGAGAGTGACCAAACAACACCATCATATAGTGTATTTCATTGTCTTCCAGTTCTCTTTCCTAACTTCCACAGTACTCCATCTCTAATGACAACAGCATCAGTTTTCCTGAGTTGTGAAGTACAATCTGAGCCACCGTTGGTATTTATTTAATAATAGCTCTTAAATACCAAGAGAGGCATCATCTGTTCTCTAATGAGATTAATCATCTAATCAGGTTGAAACAAAGCAGAAGGAAGTGATTTTAAAGCACATATAAAGTGATAATGTTTATTCTAGCTATTCTGGGTCAGCTCTACAGCCATGATTTTAAATTGAATTATAGGGTGGAATAAAAGTCAGCAAGGCCTCTGCTCCAAGAGCATGAACTATCCAGGAACGTGCTAGGTGTGGCCGGAATACCTTCCAAGTATTTAAATGAACCATAGTATTTACATAGCTTGCTAATAGCTAATATCTAAGATGCTGCTTCTCTTTAAAACTACACTTTCCTCTACATTCTTTATCCTCAAGTGTTTCCCCACATCAGCCTCAGCTTTATTTTTGTCTGATACAACCAATGAAACAATATATTTTTTTACATGGGATAAGGATGTTTTACTCACTTCAGGAAAAAAGTCAGAATTTGGCATTTGTATTATGCAGACATCAATTTAAAAAAAAACTTTATAGTCTATGTTTGATACTTCATTAATAATTGATGCTATCCATATTTATCACAAGAATAACATACTCTTAAAATTTACTCAAATCGTTGGTAATTTCCATTACTAAGATAATGCTCTAAGTAAGAAGACCAAACAACCTATTTTTATAAGTAAGTTCTTTACATACAGTTTTCCCAAGTTTGAGAATGAGTTTTTCAGCATTTATGTGATCTATAAAGTTAGGATGAGATTTTCTTCTGCGATAATCTTCATCAGTAAAAGGAATCTCGGGATCTTCCTATGAAGGAAAATATGTGACTATGATATACATAAAACAGAAAAATTTTTAAAGGCCTAGATAGTTAAAATGAGTTCTTAAAAATATTTTTAAAATCTGTTTTAACTTTGTTTTAACTTGAAATTCTAAAAACTTCTAATTCCGGTAGCTGAAGTTCAACATTTTAAAAATTTCAATAGTTCCATTTCAATTTTCAGAGCAAAAGATTTTTAACTACTTTTTATATGTGAAAAAAACGTGTATTTTTATTATGTATAGCATTACACAAGCTTGAAAAACTCTGACAACTGCTACAGATAACAGTAATGTGCACAATTTCTCTAAGACTAAATTTGAGTATCGCAATAGCATACTACAAACCATCTTACATGGTTCCTGACTATGCTTAACATATAAAGATGTATCTATTTATCTGTATATACACTGATTTAAATACATATTTCATTAAATATTTAGTTAATGTAGGATGTTTTACAACTGAAGGACAGTGCATATTGTGGTTAGCATAGATCTTACCTCTTGTCCAAGCAGTCCCTCCTGTCTGCCTTTATCATTGTACCCCAGTGCTTAAACTTCTCATGTCCAGTGACATAAATTTCACAATTTTGGCAGTAAGTAGTGGTTCAAGGTGAAAGGATCATGAGAAAAACCACACTTGCTGACACTAACTTTATTCGCTGTTGCTGAAGTGTGTACTGGAATACTTTCTTTAATCGTATTTAATGAATATTTTTCATTAAAAAGAAATATTCAGTTAAAGAAAAATTTATGTTTTCACATTACTTACAGGGTCAGGGGGTTTGCTTTTTGCCCAGCTCATTATTGTTGAAATGAGGATGAATAACTTTGGTGTTGCAAAATTTTCTATTTCGGTATGTAGGGCTGTTAAATGAAAGAAAATGATTTAATTTATTGTAAACTCTATTACTGAAACTGTATTTTTGCTGTTATAAAGTTTCTGTATAGATATTTATACCATAACATTCTATGTGATATGTATTTTTAAGCAAATAGTCTCTATTTGGGTTGGTATAAAATAGTGATAATAAATAAGGAAAGAAAACAAATTTTGGTGGCTGTATAGCAACAAATTTTCTGTTCAGTTAATAGCTGTACTAACCAGAAGCAGCCCATGTTGCTTCCTCAATTTGATTTGCATCCTCAGTGATATTATATAAAACAATCTTACACTCAAGCAAGTGACTTAGGAGCTCTTCTTGAGAAGAGACCTGGGGAGGGGAAAAAAGTGAGAATCTGTCATTAAAAAAAAAAAAAAAAATCTAAAATTCCGTTTCTTTGAAAGTTTAACTTACTTATAGAATGTAGTTTCAAACACTGAGATGCTAGACTAATTCTGTTACAATAAGACTGATACAAGTAAGGTGATGAAATGTAAATTAAATGCTGAAACTTCTAATTTGCAGTACTCATTAATATAGTTAATGAAGATTCGCAATTTTTAGTATTAATTTAGGATTTATATTTTCAATGCACTTGTGAGTATCAAAGATATCTATGACTTTTGTAGGTGTTTTAAGCAAGGATCAGCTGGCAGAATGGAGAAGACATAAAAAATGTCTATTTCCTTGCAAAAGAGCATCCTGACATTTTTGTTAAATGCAGATTGTCTGCATCGCTTAAGCAAGTCCAACAAACACTTTGGGCAAGAATAGTGATTGAGATTAAATACTATCAGCCGTAATTTTCTGATTGAACAGCTCAGCTGTATAGACATTTAAATCAAAATTTTCAAATATTTGAAGAGGTTCTGGATAATCAGTTTTAGACAGTTAGGCAATTTTAGTTTCAGAAAACTAAATCAAGCAATAAGCAAGCACATTCTTAAAAGCAAGCGTCCTTTAGTTAACTAAACTCTGGATGTATATTTATACAAAGATGTAGGTATTCAGAACAATTGACTGTTAGTGAAACTGACTAAATTTGATTCCAGCACCACTACCTTTAAAAAGGTGACAAAAGACAAGAGGAGACGAGAGATACTTGAGGTGCTTGACAGGAAAAAGAAAGCAGACATGTAGATCATCATTGTCTTGTCCATAACTACTTTTTTCAAAAATCTATTTTGAGTCTGAGTTCCTTCCTTTTACTATTTACTGTATCCTCCCTAGCAGGGAGGAAACAACAGGCTGTAGGAAGCAAAAGGAATAAAATATATGCGTACAGCTTCCAGCAGCAACAAAAGACCATTTTATTAATGCAGGTCATTTTACATGACTTGTAGCATTTCTAATGTTGTCTAGTGGCAACCTACAATACTTACTGCATATGTTTCCTCTGCAAAATGTGGTTTAGTACTCTCTGGTTTGGAAAGGGTACCCACTACTTGGTAGACTCCATCCTTTGGCTTACTAGAAATTTCAGCAGCTGAATTACTTTCATCTTCCTCCTCCTCTTCTATGCTTTCAAGTGATGCCCCAACAACACATCTGGATAAATACTGCAATACAGAAGACATGCATTTGTATGAAGATTTGTATTGAATCCTACACAGCTTCTCATGGCCTTGGGAAGACCCCAGCACTGTTGACTGACGGAGCTCAGAACACAGCTTTCCATGGAACTGGAAAACGTTAGGGACTTCTCAACCTCAACTGCAAAGTTTCGTTTTGACTTGCATCCTACACCTCAATGTCGAACGTGTTGGTGATACCTCTTCTAGAGCCCTAGATGCCTCTTCTCTGCAACCTGGCAGGCGTTACCTCAGGAAGATGTTCTCTCCCTCCATAGAGATCAGCTGTTACCCCGGGTCCTCCGACCTGCTTTACCCACATCTCCACCTCCTAACCCTCATTTTCTTTCTCCTTCCTATCTTAACCCCTTCTTGCCCCCAGTCCCCCTCCTCAGCTGGGTGACCCCAGCTCCCCGGCCGCCCTCTTGCCTGCCCCGGACCCCCCGGCGGCCGACGGGCCAGGCGGGCTCTCCCGCCCACGAGACGGGGCAGGCGGGGGTGAGGGCGCGGCGGCGCCTCAGGCAGCGACCGCTGAGGGAGAAGCCGCGGCCCTCGCCGTCACCTCGCCGATGTTGCGGCCGCAGTAGGAGTCGAGGTGGTTGAGGAAGACCCGGCAGTTCGGCGCAGGCCCCTCCGCCATCGCCACGGACGGGGACGCGTCCCGTTGCTAGGCAACGGCGCGGGCGGGGGCAGCTGCGTAGTGGGCGGGGTTTAGAGGGGCGGGGCGGGGCCGCTCCTCCCCTGAGGGGGTCTCAGGCAGCTCCTCTGGTAAGGAGGCAACAGGCATTTACTGTGTACATAAAGCCTCTTTTTAATACCTAACTCAATCTGTCGTGCCAAGTTTTACACCTAATTCAGTCTATATCTGTGATCTAGCAATCAATTTAGCTAATTTATCCTAGGACAAACAGGCACAGCGGCAGCCAACAGATTAGGGATTCTATTCCTGACAGGACAAAATGCATGTAGTACTGCTGAGCCAAAAATAGCTTTAATTAGGTTATTAGACATCGTTTCAGATAGCAGGCAGGCTTTGAGGCTTTTTAGGTAATTCAGAGACCAACTGCAGCCAGCAATGCCCCAGCAAAGGCACTGGAGAGCATTTTCTTCACACTCATAAACCCAGACACAGCAGAATGACATAGCTTTCCCATTTTTGAGGTAACACTGCAGTACGTTACAAGAAACAACAGAAGTTTCTTCTGGTAACACCTACAAAACACTTGGTTCAAAAGTATTTCTTTGCTTAGGTTTATACTAAGCCCGCAAAATGACAAAAGCATTTTAAAGATGCCTATAAAAAAAGTAATCTTATCAATATAACATCTACCTTACCATTTTTTCACTTGTATTTCTAATACTCCAAGTCTCTCTTTACAAACCCCTACCGTTTTTTTACACAACCAAGTTTGCAGCCAAAGGTTTTCAAGGACTTAAATATTTGATACTGCCCCTTCCTCCCCCCCGCAATAAAATTACAACACACAGCTGCATTTATTTAATGCTTTAGTAATTGAAATTGAACAAGTAAATTAGTTGCAAGGGAAAATATTCAAATATAAATTTGGTAAAGTACATTCTCCTCACAGAGGACTAACCACTTGCCACAGACCTGTGTGCAAAAGAGAGCCTATAAACAACTTTTAGAGCATGGAAGCATACCCTAGGGCAGAGGGTTAATATCAGAAGTTTCAACCTAAAAAAATAATAAGATAAACACAAGGTTAAGCTCCAGAAAACAGAAGCACTAACTACAGTTGTCTTGTCAGTCATAGTTGTACATCACTACCCCAAAGCTATTACAAAAGCTCTACTAGGCTTCTCCAATTAATATAACTAATCTTTAGCAGGCAGAAATGAATATAGCTCCACTGAAGTCACTGGAATCTGTGACTTCACGAGAACCAATGTGTCCCTAAATGTGCCTCCAAAAAAGCTACTGCATGTAGTTGTCACAAAAACATGGCAGAATAATGGCAGGATTATTTAAATAAAGATGCACAAATACCGAATACAAGAATACAAAAAGTATGAACGTCACAGAACATTAGTTCAACAGTACTGGTATTTCTAACCAACTTTTAAATTTTTTAAAAAGTCTACCATTCAGTACATACCTGAAAAGTTACAGAACTATAGGTTTATAAAGAGATTTGTACCAGTTTTGAAGTAGAAAATACAAGTTATATCTTCCAGTTTGTATTAGTCTTAGCAAATTTCATACAGCCTTTGGTTTCAAACCAATACAATGCAATTAACATTACAGTGCTTACTTAGTATTCATTACAAGAGGATGCTGTACAATTGAGGGAGAAAATGTGAAAAACGGGAGTACCAAAGTACTGTATTATAGAAAGCAAAGGCTGAAGCAAAAATACTCTTGGGTATATCCTGTACATCATGTAAACACACATTCAGAATAGTAAACAGGCTAAAATGTCTTCCACACCTCCCAAATAGTTACAATATAGCATACATATACATAAATATAGCATATTTAACATCATCTTTAGGAAATGTAGCCCATTACATCCTAATTCTGTGCTTAATTCATTTGCAATTCAGACAATACATTCATATATTAGCAGTTCATCTTATTTATTATTTGGAGTTCACTGGTTGCCATAGACAAAGAGATCAAGTAATACTGAGCCCTGCTTTTAACTCAGATACTGTCACTATATAAGCGACGCTCAACTGTTAAGAACCATCTTTCTTGTTACCAAAGCTGAGAATTTTCAGATTTATGCATAGCAAATCAAACTGAAATTCTGTTCTTTGCAGAACAGTAGGTTTCCCAATTATTTTTCATTAATTGGGTAGAGCAAGTAATTAGATTCTGTTTTAAAAAGTAGATATGAAAATTGTCAGTAAGTACACACAAAAAGAAATAGTACTTGTATACATAACATTCAGTCTCTATGTATTGTTTTAGAGTTTTGGATAATGACACTTTCAAAAGAGACCAATTTTTTTGATTGTTGTAAGAAGCAACACTCACTTGCTCACCTACAACAAAAAAGAAAACGAAGTTTATTAATTTTACAATTTATCAAAGTGGCTTTTAATGGCATTGTGATAACCTCAAATCCAGCATAGCAAAATGTTATAGAGTAATACTAGCAAGAATTAGATATTAATGCAAGAAATGAAGCTTAAAGATGTTTGTGATTATGTTTGTAAGAAAGATCTCAGTGCTTCTGACTAAGAATCCCTTCTAGCCTGAAACCTTCCTCATTTTGGGGGCAAATCATGACTGACTCTCTTTCTTCAAAGCTTCCAGTCTTTGTAGCAGTGCATTTCCAAACACCTCTCGATATGCAGGGCTGAGAGAGTCCAGTAAGGAGTAGACAGTTTCATGGTATGGAGTTTGCAATCTGTCGTCAGTCTGATCAAAATCATAAGCTACTACCTGCAACAAAGAAACCACTGATTACATTTCTGTGGTTAGGATCACCTTGCAATGGGAAACAGATACCACAGCATTTAACTTTGCCAGTCAGGGTAGTACAGTAATGTGAGAACAAAAGATACTGGATTTAAATCACAATCTGTGCTTTCTACTATGGGGCTTAGGGGTAACACAGTATTTAGACGATTTCAAATACCTTTTGTCTGAAACTCAGAATATTAGTAAAATCTATCATTATGACCTTTGAAAAGAAGTCATACATCTATGCGTTTGCACAAAACATGCAAATGGTGCAAAAAGGAGTTGTATACAGGCTGTATTACTGACTTATCTGGGTACCCGAGAAACCCCAGAACTGACATGTCTATAACAAATTGCTGCTTCAATTTTCATTGTTTTGTGTCTCAAATAAATGCCTGTTTTTTCATCAACTTGCCTTCTTGCTTTGTTGCACGTAACTACTTAATCACAGTATCATAGAATCACAGAATGTTAATGTTCCACTTTCTAGGAGAAAACATGTAGAACAGGCTTTCATAAAAGTACAAGAGGAATACGCATGCTGTTTTGGTGTCACTGAAGTATTTTTCTAGACACCTTTTGAACACAATCTTTGTTAAAAACAAAAAGGTTGAAGAAATTATAAACAAGTTAGTTTACCCTGAGTCCTGCCTCGGTGAGCTCCAGGCAGTATCTGTTCCTTTCCCTGGTTTCCACATTGATATATGCCACATCCTCTGCACAGGGAAGGGTTTTTGAGACAAACATGTTGCTGACAGCAAACAGAACATCATTCACAACAGCTTCAGCTTCTAGTCTCATATCTTTCACATCTGTTCCTTCGAAGTCTCTATAATCAGAATCCTCTTCAAACCCCGCATTACTGGGTGTCTCCACAGGATTGCAATCAGTCTCCATTCTGCATATCGAAACATTTATTTTAGATTTATCATACCATTACACTCAATATATATTAACAACATAAACTAAGATATATATATTAAGCAGACATGTTTAACGTTGCACAAAAAAATGAAAACATGAGAGCCAGTGACTCCCGTAACTCATAACATTGGAGTCCAGAGAACTCAATACCAAGATGTTGAGAACAACTGCTTAGGAAGGTGATGTTAGCACACAGAAGCAGAATCAGTGTCACTGAAGTTGCTGCTTCTTATGTGGGTAACTTGCATTCTATCTGGTAAGACTCTGTTATGATTCAGCAGTAATTAATTGTGCACTTTGCTGATCCGGAATGCAGTCCGAAGGCAACTCATGCCCGGAAAAACTGAAATCAATAGCTGTAAAGAATAAAAACCTATTGCTGGTGAATTTAAGAAAGACTGAGAAGAGTCCATTAACTAAATGGGTTATCAGAGACAGATGAAACAGCAGCTTTTTGTTCAGGATCACTAAAGAACAATTCCCTTGTTCAGCTTTTATGCCCAACTATCAATACATCTCAGAGACAGGCACTGCTGGCCTTTGTAAGCAGCCGTTACCGAAACGGGCCGGACTCTGGCGGGGGGGTCACCACAGCAGCTCTCGGTGCCACCACGGGGCCTCAGCCACATTCGCAGGGAAACCTGCTTCAGGGAAGCCCTTGGGACGCTGTCCCCGGCGCTGTGGTGGCCCAGCACTGCTGCCGGGAGGGAGTGGCGCCCGACAACGACATTCCCACCTCCAGATTCACCCCTTCTCGACAAAACCCCACCTCGGGCCTACACACCAATTGCACGGTGACTGAAGGCGACAAGGGGAGCTGCTCAGCCTCCCAGTCGCAGCGCGTCGCTCCCATTTACCGACAGCAAAACAAGCCGCCGGTCATCCCCCCCACTTCCCCCGCCCTGGCACCAGCCCACCTACCGGCCCCGCCGGCGGGCGGCCGAGGGCCCTGCCGCCCGACCCCAAACGGCTCCGGGCACGCAGGCGCCTGCCGCTCCGCCCTGCTGGTGCTTCCCCCGGGGACCGTTCGCTACAGAGTTGACATCCCCACACACACACAGAGAGACACCACCCGCCCGGCCGCGGAGGCCCCTCCGGCGCGACCCCTCCCCCTCCCCCGCCTCCTGCCGCCGCTTCCGCCCCCGCCTCCTCCGCTCGGCGACGCCACTTCCGCGGGGACGTCACGGTGCCGGTGACGGCGTTCGGCGGGCGGGGAAGGCGAGGGGAGGGGGGAAGGAGACAAACAGCCCGGATCGGCCTGGCTGCCCTCCCCGGCGGCGGAGAGCTGAGGCGGCGGGGTG